GCCTCCCCCCCTGGTGGGGGGGCCCCGAGCGCATGGACTGCGCCCCCTTCAGCGCCTCGGCCTTCCGGACTAGGGGGGGCGTGGGGGGCCGCCCCGGCGAGCCCGGGGGGGGCCTGCCCCTGGGCTACCTGCGGGGCCGGGCGGAGCCCGATGACTCAGCACCCCCTATGCTGGGGGTGTGCGTGCCCCAGAGCACAGCAGCCAGCTCCTGAGGACTCTGCCGCCAGCCACAGTGCTCTTACCGCCGCTGCCGCCACCTGGAGCTGTACCTCCACTGGCCCAGGGGGCTGAGGAATGAGAGACAGAGGAAAGGAAGGGGGAGGGGGCTTCCCTGGTTGGCCTCGCCCCTTCCTCAAGCCCCGCCCCTGGCATGGGGGGGCTGTATGGAGGTCTGCTGTGGCCACGCAACCCCCCCTCCATTGGCTCTGCTGCGTGGTATGACCCAGCATGGGGGCCTCTAGCAGAGTTGGTGTTGCCTGGTTGTGGGGAAATCTCCCCCCCCCCATGGTTTTGCCCTCTTGGTATGATCCAGAGAAGGGGAGTCCCCTCTGACTCTACTCTCTTGCTATAACCCAGGGAGGGGGAATGCCCCCCCATGGCTCCACCCTCTTGGTATCACCCAGGGAAGGGGAATTCCACCTTGGTATGACCCAGAGAACCCACCCATGGCTCTGCTCCCTGATGTCACCCAGGATAAGGCCCTGCTCAGTGGAGGGCCCAGCCCCTAGCCATGCCCCCTGGGCTTCCCCAGCATGGGCGGGAGCCATAGCCTGCCCCCTGTAGCTCCACCCCTTCTGGTGTCAGCCACTGGGGGTGGCCCCTCCCACCTCCCCTTTAAAGCACCACCCCCTTGGTGGGTGCCTGTTGGTCCCCTCTGTGCGGCAGCCCCCCCATTGGTCTCCCTCTCCCTGTAGCCACGCCCCCTGGCTCTACCCACTGCTCCCCGCACCATGGACAGCTGGGGGGGGGCGGGGTTAGACCCCCGGACCCTCCTGCACTTCACGGACTGGAATTGCTGCTACGAACTGCCCCCAAACACCCCTTGCCCCTCTTCCTCCTCCCCCTGGGGGGGCAGTTAATTGGGGGGGGGGGAAATATTTTTA